GTGCATATTAGCTTGGGCGTGGTATGTAGATACGGGCGATAAGAGCTGAGTATAGATTATAAATACATCCTCTTTAACAGGTGAGCACACTCCGAAACGTCACCAAGACGCTATACACGCGCAGCAGCCATGCACAGCATGCCAGTTCCCTGGATGACTTCAGCTATGCCACCTTTGAAAAGGGTCAATCGTCGGTGGTCGCTCTGGCCGTTACCTGCGTCATCTTTGGCACCTGCCTGATTCTCAGTCTCATTACCTACTTTTACTTGCGCTACAAGACCTGCCATGCGCGCGGACTGACCGGACGCAGGCGCAACGCCCACGAAATGACGCAGCAGACGCCCATCATCGAGCGGGAGAACAATGGTTATTTGGTGGAGGATGAGCTGCCGCCCACGCTGGAGAGCTTCAAGCAGCAGTTTCAGATGACCATCGAGGGCATGCAGAAATTGCCACGCAATTCGCTGCGCCTGAATGCTAATGATGTCATTGCTGATGGCCGCTACGGCGAGATTATCACAGGACGACTCAGCGAGGGTGACGCCGTCAAGGATTGTGCACTTCACGTGCTGTCGCTGGACGATCTGTCCAGCGTGTCGCAGGCACAGCTGCTGCGAGAGATGCGGCACTTGAAGCAACTGCGCCGCCACGAACTAATTCTAGACTTCTATGGAATTTCGGCCAGCGCAGACTGGTTCTATCTGATCTTTGAGCTGCAGCGAGTGAGCCTCAAGCGGCGCCTGATCGAGAGCCGCCAAGCAGCGCCAGCGCCACGACTGACAACACTATCGGAGCAACTTGTGCTGCAGTGGATGTACGAGCTGTCCAGCGCCATGTCATATTTGGGCAGCTGCCAGGTGCACCACCGGCAGCTGTGCGGCTACAGCGTTTACGTGTGCGCCGACTCCAAGCTCAAGCTGTCTGTCTTTGGGCCGCTGCACTACGTGAACAGCAACGGCCAGCAGGTGGATCTGGGCCGGTGGCTAGCGCCCGAGGTGCTGCGACATCAGCACTACACGACCATGTCGGACGTTTGGTCCTTTGCCTGCGTGGCTTGGGAGTGCTGCGCACTGGGCGGCACGCCCTACGCCAACATAGCCAGCAGTCAGCAATTAATGGAGGCAATACGATCAGGCGTGCGTCCGGCGCAACCCGCCTATGTCTACGGTGACCTGTTCCAGCTGCTGCTTAACTGCTGGCAGCTGGAGCCCAGCGAGCGCATCGGGTTCGAAGATGTCGCTTTCGGCATACGTCAACTGATGACATCACCCAGGCACGCACTGTGCTTCGATCGCTCTGCTTCGGATCCGCGGGAGACGCTGCCGTTGTACCTGCCGATGCTTGAGACAATCAACTAGTGTGGCCGGAGCACAGAAGCAATTATTTATTAATTCAGTAGGGCAAAATAAATGACAATTGACGAAAGATTAGAATATATGTAACAGGCGTTAGTTGATTGCTCCAAAATGCAGTCTGATAAGAATGTACTATAGCCATGCGTTTGAACGAATCTTTATCAAAGATTTTCAATATACATATGAAACGAGCAAAAAATGTGTGTATTCTTTATAAAGTGCTATCAGCCTTTTATCAATAACTGAGCTCGTTAACTTATCAGGTCAAATATGAACAAAGCTGAGAAAATGAGGGATAGAGAGTAGAGAAAATTGAATCTCTCCTACAGCTCTTAGGTTTGGAAATGGGATCCAGTGGTGTGATTCAAATTTTCTACACTCTACAATATACAAATTGTTTTAGTCAATGGAAGTATAATTAACGTTATAAAAGTTATAAGTTAGCACAAACATCTATTTAATAATTTCTTAGCGCTATTGAGAGATAACTTACATATTTACTAATAGATTTTTTGTATACAAGGCATACTTTGTTTTGTATTTTTTCCACCAACAGTATAGTTCCAAAATTATATGATTTTACTCTTGTACCAAACTCTTTGTTGTACAGTGTAACAAGTCCTAAGTAAATAGAGAACACAGAAACTGCGAGCTAGAAAGAGAGAGAGCGCGAACTAATATGACGTACTGAGAGTGTGTTGCTGATCTAGGGTGAGCACAAATATGTACATACATACGTATGTATATAACAAAGCATATGTACTATACACACATGTGTGTCTATGGCCATATAAAAATTGACGATTAATCAGTTTAAAGGTCGTGCGACTAGGGGGTCTGGCGATACCTAATTAAATGTAATTGTTTAATTATTTAGTTGGGGGAAAACACAGTTATCTAAATAAACTCAAGATGACTAGAAAATTACCTATTTTTAAATATATGTATTTGAGCTAAAATGTTATATAGTCATCATATTAATATATAACGTGCTTATTTTATTTTGTAAGGAACTTTTTCAATGAACGACCACAAACATACTTAAGCATATTCATCTTTGTAATTAAATGATTCTGCATTAGTCATGGATGCAATGGAGCAGAGTTCCTTCTTAGTGCAAATTTACTTTCACACACAGAAACGCACGCACGCACACACATACCGAGATGCTGTCAAAGTACGTGCAATGTGCAAACATCCAATTGGAAATATTCTGCTAATCTGGTAAGCGCCGTTAGGAACCACGGTCTGCAAACAGCTGATAAGCGATCCAATTGAATATAAAATGCCACACAAGGGGCTACCCAAAAGACTAAGCACATTTTGTATATGGCTGAAGTTTATTAAACGCGTAATGAAGCGAAACGATCCAAAGTAGCAAATTCAGCAAAACAAAACTAAATATACATATGTTGCATATATAACTCACATGTGCATATGAGTATATGCAAGCTTTAATATACATACATACATACATATACAAACAAATGCTTCACCGTTTTAGCGCTCAAACGACTTTTGCACTCGCCGACTCGGAGTCAAGGTGAATGACGTTACCAAACAGGGCAAAGAGCCCACGGCTACGGTTATAGCAAGAGCAAAAACAATTAAAATCATTGGCACACATATTCAGATTTGAATATTCGCATATGTATTGGCATATACGAATTATTAATAAATCAAGCTAGGTGCCCAGAAGTGACGCT